ATCCATGTATGTATGAGCAATAGTTCAACCGAAATTTGGTGAATTCATTTAATCCTGCTTCAATAACCTTTGTTGCTTTTTTTCAATTCACACTGAGAAATAAATGTTTTCAATTTACCTGAAGGTGAAAATGGTAAGAAACTGTCAAGTTTTCCCTAAGCACAGTTGTTTATAACAAGAAGCGAACTGTCGTATGTTATAGAAGAATCGACTGAGTTTTCAGTTTGACCACCAGATAATATTTCAATCAGTTAAGGTCAGTGACTGTAGGACCGAACCCATTTCAAAGTCCAAGGAGCTGAATTCCCTGCAGGATACCCAGGCACTGTATACTTCTAAATGTGACCAACAAAATCTTTCTTCCACCCTTCTTTTCTTCAAAAGATTTATCAGGTATCCTTTCTTTCACTCATTAGGTGGCTTAGTGGAGAATATTGGGTAGCAGGAGAATTTCCGTTTTGATTTCAATGTGGAAGCTAATGTTCACTGCAGGTTGCATCTTTTTAAAAGCATCGTCCAGTAGTTATTCATTACATGTGTTCATCATGTGTAACAGTCTCTTCTGCAGAGATATGTGATTATTTGTGTTTGTTTCTGATGTGTTTAACTACAAAACAAGGTGAACAAGTTTTCTCAATTAGGATCTTCCTCATAAGTGAAATTTCTCAATCTGTCAACTTCAGATTGTAAGTTCTGTGGGTAATAGTCCAAGGGCTATCATCAGGTTTTGTAGCATGGCTTGTAAATGTTTGTCAGCTGGTGGTTTCACGAAGTCCCTTTCCATACTATTCCGTTCAATTTCCTATTAAATGTATTTGTTAGTCTAAACTTCAAAAGCGGATTTTTTTTCAGGTTTCTGTTTCAACAGTGATTTTGATGGTTGAGTGGTGACTATTCACATATTGTCGTAGATCATTTAGTTCACTTTTATTACTACTAATGATGATAGTATCATCAATATACATTTTGTATAGAGAGTGACCATCAATAATCATTTGAAACGGGGCAAAAATTATGGACCAAGTTTCACGTTGAAAAAATACTGAGAAGCCGAAATATACAAAAATATACACTTTGATATGATTATGAGCAATAAATTGTGCCCGAAACGTCATCAGTAAACATTGCTGTATAACACTGTGAGACTTTATCAAAACAAAATTTACCCATAATGGAAAACGTAATGTCACTACTTTTAATTCATGACGTATTTTACCACCAATGAGACACATTCTCAACAGTGAATTTAATAAACATATCTAAATTGCTTATACTTCGGTTTGCATATAAGTACACGTGACATTATTGTCTGAAATCTATTGTGAATTAAAGCATCCCTTCACCATTCTACCAAATTACAACAACTATACTAGATGCTGTCTGTTTTCACATGAGAATTATATATATATATATGTGTATAAGGAAGAAATAACTGACAACTTTGGAAATATAATATGCTCGGAATAATTTTGCTTATACTGATTTTCCAGAAGTGTTCATTATCGTACAACAGTAAGTGTCACTGCAGTTTGATACTCAATAACAAATGAAATTTTGATTGTAAGAAGAGAACTTGTGTACTGTGGTAGAGTATAATTTCATTATGAGAAAAAATTAATTTGATAAATTTCAATTAATTTATACTTAGGAGACCCGACTATTTTAAAACGACTGCGGTTAATTTCGTTCTGGTTCATTTCATTTCAGAAATCTGCTTTTATCGTGAAGATGAAGGTTATGGAAATCACCCACTGGAAAAGTATTATTATAATGCGACTATTGGAGAGTGTATGACATTCACCTACTATGGAGATGGAGGAAACGATAATAACTTTCATGCAAAAGACGAATGTGAAAAACGTGTAAATCAAGGTAATTGTATATTACATAAATGCATCATTTTAAAATATCACAAGTTATTTCTCATTAGGTTTGACAGAGACTTCGTAATTTTCAGGTGGTTTGTCGAATTATGTCCCTGAAAGAGATAGTTTATCGAACTTTTACCGTGATATAACTCAGAAATCGTCACAACCACCTAGGTGGTACAGTGGTTAAGACTCTCGTTGATCATGCATATGGTCCGGGGTTCGAGCCCACGCCGACGCACACCTGATATCTATGGTCGGCCTGCGAAATCTGGGCTACCGATATCCACGTTGCAAATTCCATACTTGTACCAAAAAGTATTACCAAAAGCTGTATTAAAAAAAAGACATATTGCCTATTAGCAAATAAGTTTGGAATGATCTAGCAAGCCTTACACACCTAAAAATTATATGACTATTGCAAGCAAGAGTAACTTATACATTTAACTAGTAATATCAAGTGAATTCTGTGATCAGTCAATAGGGTTGATGGAAACAAATATTTCATCAATTTTTAACGATTCCTTGAGAATTTTTATGTACTGTGAGTTGATACCTATGAAACTGAGACTTTCATTATTCATGTTGACTGAAAGTGAGAGGACAGTTTCTACTTTTATTAATTATTAGTCATAGTTCATAATGAATTTGCGGCACCTGATACCGTTTCATAATTCATTTCTTTCCTTGTTTAAGTGGTAAATTCGATAGACGTAAGTTGTTGTTGGTAGAAACCTTATGATGGTTTAATTATGGGATATTTCACTCTCCTCAATCATCCGTTCAAGCTTTGAAATTTCAGAGTTTAAATATTCGGTAGATCGTCAGGTTTTAGTGATGACTGACGCCTTCTGTCTCGTTTGTGTATATAATAACCGATGGTTGGCTTCCACTATCGGTAACATCTGACGTAAAATTGTGTTCTGGAAATATTTAGAGCGAAGGGATATATAACCTAATCCAAAAACACTGATGAATTCATAGGCGAATAAATAGATGACTAAACTAGGCAGCTGATACTTCAGATGAGGTGACACTGCTATTCATCTAGAAACAAAAGTACAATCAGTGAAGATTTACAGTTCTCTCCAGAGATTTGTTTCGTCACATAATAAGTGTACCATGGACAAACTGTACTGACGTAAAGAGCGGCTTATTGGTTGTAGATGCGATATAGCTGCTGTCGAGTATAATTACTTTCATCGATTTAATTTGACAATGTTTCTCAAACTATTTGTTATTTACCAGGTTATTTAATAGCATCCTGCTTTGCTTTGTGAGGATATAGTCACAAATGCGATGGTTCACACTACGTTTCAATAACTACAAATAAGTAGATTGTGGTCGAAGTGGTTCTTTTGACTGGAATGAGGTTTGAAATAAGTTTCCAGTGTGAATATAAAGATGTCTTGATTGAATCCCGGTGTCAATTAGACGCAATTCTCGCACATCACAATCTCCTTGAAGTGAAGTTACACTAAGTTTCAAGGAATACTATAACATATTCTAATATACTAGAAGAGACCATTTTGAACTACTGACTAAATTTCAACTTCGTTTTTCATTTTCAATCAGTGATGTATATTCTGATGTCTTTATTCAAACATTGCATATCAATCCACATCACAATTGCACATCAATCCTCGAACATTTTGTTATCTCCAGACATTGAGCACCCCACACGAATCTTCACAGTGGTACACAGAGTCCCTCAATATCGTACAAAAGGACTCCGGATACGACATCTGTACATAGCTGAGGCATTAGCTATTCGTGACCTAAAACCTGACCTATGCATACAAAAACGATGCATACATTCTCTAGCCCTACCATGGCCAGAGTAAATTTCTTACTATAATTTTTCTCCTCTCTTTTATTATGTAAGTTCACTATTATTATTATTACTATTATTACTGTTCTTAATACTTTTATTATTATTACTATTCCCATCATCCACATTTTATTATCACTCTATTACTGTTTATTAATAACATTGCTTTCCACACAGATCTTATGCAAAAATACTTTATAGCCTTTCCACTAGTTCCTGTCCATTCTTCACTAGCTTATTGATTAGTCATTATCTCACACTTATTAGGTCATGCCAACTTCTGTCTCCTTTCTAACTTACAATTAGTCATCCCTTCTTACACCTCACATTATGTAGTGGAATTTTCAAGGACAAAATTTACCAGTATCTGATTGGTCAAAAAACTTATGTGTTTAATTATAATTACGATTGTACAGCTCATGAAAATGAATCGTCGAAAAGAAAATTTTCTTCGCTGTTTGTGCCCTTTCTTATGACTCAATATGGGAATATTTCATTCATTGCATGTATGTTTGAAGCAATACATTTATATCACCTAATAATTTGGTACGTTAGAGAAATGGAGCTCACCACTTCATTTTCATCCACATCCAGTTGATTGATAGTGTAATTTGGTGAATATAAATGGTTGTGGTGAATGCATTTCGCAAGATCACTTATTCCGCTGATTGATTGGTTGCGGTTCTGTACTGTCCATGTGAAACGAAATCTGTCCCACCTAAATTTGCCTTCGTATGTGAGAAATTTCTAATCGTTCATTGTCTAATTTACTTGAGAAAGAATTCGTCATAATCTGAAAAGTATCGAAAGCCATCATTAGGGAAGATGGGTTGTTGCTTAACCCACTCGTTGATACTGTTGTTGATTCACGCATGGACTTCTGGAAGAAATTATCAAATATTATCCTGTCAGTCTCTGAACACCCCATCCGTACACAAATCTCCCTCTTTCGTCTCATCGAGTAAAAGTAGAAGAAATAATGGAGGACTGTGTGCTTGGATAAGTGTGGACAGGAATTCCGCAATGACTTATTTAGGACACATTTAGTGATGAGAAAAGTGTGTGACAGGAAAATGGAAACTCACTGAAGAACTCTCAAAAAGTGGCATTTGATTCTGTTGTAACTGTTACAATGGCGTGAGTATTTCCACTTGATATAGTTCAACATTCGTTTCTTATTGAATAATAATAATGATAATGTAAATGGCATATTTTAAATACTGTTTGGAATAAAGCTTTTATTAATAATTTATAACGGTTACACGATTATCAATGTTTGATAAATGTTTGAATAATTTTAGGCAACTGCCATAAACCTTACCTTCGAAAAGAATGCTATGATAATCACAACCACTACTACTATGATACACAATTGAGGAAATGTGTACCCTTTGGATGGACCGGATGCAACAAAAATGGAAATGACTTCCGGAGCTACGAGGAATGCATAGCAAAATGCGGATCGGTGTATGTTACTTTTTATATATCTTTATCACTGAAACATTTATTTCACAAGATAAATAAGACGGTTTTATTCACCGCTGGGTTACGCGTTCTTTTTAAAGTCTAAATCATATACAGTCTTCTTTTCTTTGCAACGTATGCACTATTTATGTAATGGTTGAAATAATTTCACCTATGTGAGCTAGTAACTTAGTCCACACTCCACTCTTTTTTGATAGAATATGGAGTTTGTAGTCAAATGGGCGTCACTGATCAAAGTATAGCTTAGATATTTATGTTTCACATCTGAACGATCAGCACTGAACAGAAAACTGGAAAACAACACCATTAAATACCACAGTTGATAGTTTCAATTGAAAAGTTTTACTTCTGAGAACATTATTCGACGATTCCATAGTCCTACTAGAAATATGATGCTGAATGCACTTTTAGAATTCAACAATAATAGCAAGACATTGACGATGTCTTTACCAAACAAATCCAGTTTGAAATTTGATTTATTTACTGTGAGCACCTGAAAATATGACGTGAAACCAATTAACTACTAGTTTCATCATTTTTTAATTATCCTCCAGTTTTATAGTTTCAAATATCCCCATATCATGAATTAAATGTCAATCTGAACGCAGAATATTCTATTCAATAATTTTTGTTCAGGTTTTTACAATAATAAAATAAATTACATTTGTTGTCATTACATTAATAGCCAGTTATGCGGGTGACAATTTTTACGTAGAATAACATATTAGTTATTGGGTGTCAAAACAAACGGTCGTATTTATCTGACAAACATGCTAGGCTAAAACGCATTACAAAATATTGTTAAATAGCAGACAATGGTGGTGATTAGTTATAATAGATTTTTAGAGTGTGGAATAGGAAAATTGACAAGTCAGTTCAAGGTTATAAAAGGTGTCAGGTGAGTTGCTAGTAAAAATTGGTACATATCCTGAAATTTATTAGATCAGACGACACACTACCGAAATATGCTGCCACCTGAAAGATTATTCGGTTGATTTAGATGTCAGATCTAGTGATTTATTTATTCCGGTCAAAGTGTTCACAGAAGCATAATTTTAGTTGTGCTGTTTTCCTAGTTATAAAAACCATGCTTCTTGTCATATCCACACAAACGAACTAAAATGGAAAATGGGACATACTTGAAGTAGCTGTCTTGAATATCCATATTCACCGAATACAGCCAGAGAGAGGAAGTCAAACACCGTATGTTTACTAGTTTACGATTATATGCTCGGTATCCAGATATTATAATATGAGTTAATAATGAAACAGATGGAAGTAAAACTGATTTGTTCTAATGTCACTGTATTTTGATCAAATAACACGTAGTTTCAAGTGGTTTGAACATTAAACTACTGGGCACTGTTAGATTAACAAATTTCAGTCTTTCATAAAACGCGCATTCAAACAACCTGATTAATCTGTTTGATAATTTAATCATATAGTAAGTAGTATGAACCAAAAAATAGCGTTGATTTAAAAAATGTGTCACTCTCATTGGAATGTTGATTACAAAATTAAATAAAAACAATATCTGTTGTCATCATATTCAATTAATTAATTTAAAATCTTTTCTCCAGAAGCTGTCTTCCTCTAACAAAGATATTTCACGTTGAATTGTTTTAGAGAAGCTCGGTATTTCTCAAATAAACGTGAGTTCTTTCAGGATAAAATTTATTTTTCAGCTTGCATTTTATGCATATGCTTGATCTAGGGCATACACATTCTACAAGAGACATTTCATATATATATATATATATATAATATATATATATAAACGCCCAGTTCATAAATGCATTTATATATTCGATTCCAATAACATCTGGAAGGGGTAAATAAGCTCTCAGGTAGACAAAAAAGATATGCTTAGTTAGATATCAGATATCGAAACTGACCGCACAGAACAAGCGCCTCATTGAAGATAGTGAAATGAGACGCTGTAAACTTCAATCATTTTCAGAAAAACCTTATGAGTAGTGAAAACCTCGTAAGTTGTCAAAACTATAAAGTTTGAATTTCTTGTCACGGGACAGTGTTTCTAAATAAAAAAGAGGTTAATATGCTCAAATGCATTCGACGATCACCATCAAATAGTTCAGATTTTAATACAGTGATAATCGAAATTCATTCTCATGAACGTCAAATATCTAAAGTAGTCTTTAGAGAATTTCCAAAAGTTTGCAGTACTTATTATAAAGGCAGTAAAACAAGTGAGATCATATTTACTTTGCCAAGTGCAGATAAATAACTAAAATTGCGGTTTCAAACGTTTATACATAGCTGTTGATGCAATATTTTGTCCAGTTATACGCATACTCATCAGGAATCAACAATTTCCATGACGTATAAACTTGAAATATATCATGATTACTTGTGAACAGCACTATAAATTTTCATCTAAAAGTGTAATGGTGATTGTGAAACGGATTTTATTATATTTTTAAAAATTGGACAAAAATATAAGTAAATATTTTGTGTCCTTTATGATAAACAAACATCACAATCAGAAAACAATCATTAATTGAAATTGAACATTAATGAATGTGGGCTGTGCAATTCTTAGCATATACTGGAATAACCGCTCGAAATGTATGAAACATTAGCCGCAATTTTCACTGATAGACCACCTCCTAGATTTTTCAACTTGGAATAATAGGAAAATTAGAATCCCAAATTATCACTAATTAATAAGGTTTCAAGAATCATTTAGACATAAATAATTTAGGTAAACTAGCAGAAGCAATGTATTTACCGTGACAATAAATTATAAATAAATACCAGATACAATATCAGAAGTACAGAAGACCAATACATATGAAAAGAGACAGAACGTATAGGTGATGAAAACCAGAAATTTGAGTAGAAGACCAAAAAATATAAGAAATGTTGCAGCATATATCAAGATGTGGAAAATGTAGCTATCAAAAGAATAAGAAGCTATCAGATACTCTCATGCTCTCTCTATGTGACACATTGGATAATTTGACAGTCAGTTGTTGTCGACATCTTCAGATTTCCTTGTGTGTGGGTGTGTTGCGTACTTTTAATGAGGCTGATCATTTGCTTGGTGTTAGCTCATAAAGCTGAAAGGTATTGCTATCAAATGTTATCATCACCGTCGCAGATTAAGAGAGAAAATCTGTCAATCGGTGACTTACATACGCTCCATAAAATTACTGATCAATCAGGTTCTCCATGTACTGGAGAAAAATGTGGCTAGAAGCAGGCTTGTATACAGCAGTGATTTGTCCAAACTCACCAAAATCCCCAGATTATAATCACGAATAAAACATCAGAATTCTGTCTCATTAAAACAAAATCATTCAAATAATATTGATTATAAAAATTAATACAAGCGTATTAACAACTATGCAGCAATTTCAACATGTAAGATCATGTCACATTTGAAATTACATGATAATGATAAGAATTAAATTGTATATGCAGTGGGGTGAAAACAAAACAATTAAGACAGTTCAAATCAAGCAGTTAGGTATGAAAATAAATAAAACTATTAGAGTTCATTGGTCGATGTTGACTAGCAGAGGGACACAGGACAGAGCATTACAGCTAGAATAATCGATGTGATTATCGAAGCTTCAATGAAACATATAACAGAATCGAAATCTCTATATAATCTCGCTGGTTATATACATATAAAATAATTTCACTGATAACCAGAGAAACACAGCGTTGAATGAAACTGTGATTAGAAGCTGACGCAGCTTCAAACAACAATCTCTGCCATACACCAGCAATCACTTCAGACTTACGCCAGTCCCTAGAACATATTGTCAATCGAAGCATATAACAGTACTCATCTGTTCGTCAGACAATGTGACTTCATGATCGCTCATCACGAAATCGGTCAGCTAACAAGATAACATGTGTGTCCCCAATTTCATTCGTCTTCAAATAACTCGAATCAAACATTCCACTGTATAGCATCAATTCAGTGCCTCAAACGAACCCATGATTTCCCATCTCATACTCATAAGTAACACTACTTTGACGAAGAGAGTATGCGAGTTCACGGAATCCACACATTTCTGCTGAAAGCAGTGTGACATCCTTGTCGACTGCTCTGTGAAATTCACCATCAATCTATCTGACGAATTATTGTGGCGCAATCATTCATTGAAAGCATTAGAATTCCATGTATATTCCTACGACTCATAAGCATATTATGGTCTAGCTGGCTTTAAGGAATCACCAATTCAATACACGAAATCTAATTTCGAAACACATTACTGTTGTATATTCGCAGCTGTATAAATCTCCATCAGTAAATGACATGATAATTCAAAACTGACTTGGTTGTCTTCAGGAATGACACATGGCTGTGTGATATTATTTTATGTTATGCATGTGAATTAAACATCAAGTTGTTGTATTTATATTGACTGCGATTTAGCTACACCTAAACGTGAGTCCATATAATTCTTGAGTTTTCTCTCATACTAGTTCGACATCTTTGTTGAGTGTATCCGAAATGAAATGGCGCTGTATTTCACGCTTTTGTCCACCCACCGTCTAGGTACATTGTGAACATTGGTATACACATCACACAACTCACATTGTGTAACTTCTTCTAACCATTCTCATTTGCTTTCTATCGAACTGATTTAATCAGTCAGTCATATAATGCCATTTGTGATAAAATTTATTTTGATAAAATCGCACAGCGTTATACGGTATTATTTACCGTTGATAATGTTTTGAACTTAAATCACTGTTCTCAACCATATCAAGGCACTTATTCTAGAAAGTTGTTTGAGTGCCTTGATATGGTTGTGAGCGGAAAATTATGCTCGAAATGTCATCAGTAAATATTACCGTATAACACTGTGCGATTTTATACAAAGTGAATTGTATCCCTAATGGAGTTATACTCTAACACAGTGCACAAGTTCTATTCTTATATCGGCAATCGTATAATGAGCTGATGAGTTCTTAAAAGAGTAACACTTCCTTATTGTTTA